CTTTCTGGCATCTCAGTAAATTCAAAGCCAAACTAAAAACCGGAGGCAGAGCCCAATATCCCTCAAGCTACAGTCCAGAGAAGAATAGTAACAACGACATTAACACAAAATTTAAAATAGCCAAAGACTTGTCAGGTTTATTATCTCATAGATAGTTTCCTTCTCAAAAAATAACTTGCTCATCCATATGCACCTATAGTTTCTGAATAACTCATGCTGTGGAGGTGGTAGATTCCCCTATACTATTTTGCAAACATATATAGGTGTTTTTAAGGTAACAAAGCAATCAATTATCAGTTTTCTGCCATATATATGTCTATATATTACTGCAGCCTCCCCTATTACCTGCTGACAAGGCAGAGAATCCAAAATAATTCTGTTAACCTGAGAAATACATAATTTGAAAAGAAATCCCTTGCCCTCCCCTCCCCCCTACTCCAAATAATAAAAACTACAAATACGTTCTTTAGGGATTATCTATGGTTTTCTATGTCACTGGCATCTTAGGACAGGGCCTCCTGTGCCTCGTGCCAAGTGCATCCTTGTGACATTCTGATGGCTTCCTTCCACAAGTCTTATCTCCAATGGCACGGATTACCGAGACAGACTTTATGCACGTCAAACAAATGCAGTTTCCAGACTAAAGCCCAGGCTGCAGTGAACACAAATTCAGACCCACCCTAGACAGGAGCTTCTGCACCCTCATGAGGAGGAGGGGCACTGACCTCAGAGGGGGCCGGCAACGGGTCGGGGTGCCAGGCAGCCCAAAGGGCTCCTCCCTCAGAGCGTTCTTCACGGATGTTCCACTCACGGCATCCGAATTATAAAAATGCCTTGAGAGCTGTTTTTATACAGAATAGATAAATGCATGGTTGAAAAGACTGTCAGACTTTCTCTAGACCAGTGGTTCTCAAAGGGTGGTCCCTGGACCTGTTTCCATCACCTGGAAACATGTTGGAAATGATGGGACTCCAGCTGGGAAGCAGAAACTCAGTGCGGAGCCCGGCAACCTGTATTTTAATAAGCTCCTTCAGGCACTGCTGCTGCTGCCTTACGTTTGAAACCACTGCTCCATCCTGCTTGACATTCTCGAATCTTCAAACAGGACAGACTTTTAAACACACTTCTGAGTGGCTTCCACTCTGCGTGGAAACCTTTATAATTTGCCACACCTTACTTTCACAAAGATCAAAAAAAGTATTAATGAAAAAACTTATTTCAAAAAAATAGATTTTTTAAAGTAATACTGATTTCTCCTCATCCACATAATTCTAAGGTAGGCCGTGACATGCTATAATGCAAAATCAAACACAAAAGAGACCTCACATAAGAGGTGTAGAAATAGCTAAAACAACTCCCCAAGAACACAACAAAAATGCCATAGTATCGATTAATGAACCCATAGAATTATATAAAACTCACTTGATTATGCTTAACATTTGTATCAAAATAAAATCTGTTGAACAACTTGCAAATAAAGTCCAGTAAACTAGTACTCAGATTACTGAAACTACAGGTATGTGAAGGTCTCTGGGTTTCTTTCCTTAACATTCCTGTTTTAGAAGCTTTAAGCTACTATTGCATAATTGGACTTAGGATTTAACCACAATAGCTCACACTACTAAGTCAAGATTCTTCTGTTAGTAATTCCCCTCAAAAAAACATTTAGAAACTCCTGTGACTGTTTCCTTCAAGTTTATTCCAAAGTAGATATTTTTCAATCATTTCAAAAATTGTAAATGTTACATTAAAAATTTATTGTCAATCTGTTTAATCTGATATTCTTGTTTAAAGCAATAATAATGACATTTTCTGCATGTGTTTTATAAGAACGTTCAAGGTTAGTAACATTCATTTCTTGTAACAATGGTCTTGAAATGGCTAAACAGGCATGAAAGTAGTAAGTGTGAATGTAGCAGCTTCACAGTAAAATCTCAGCAAATAGATACCAACCTCAAGTAGATGGAAAATGTAAGAAGCCCAATATAATGAGCACGTTGAAGACTAACATGCCACTTACTCTTGATATCTTTACACCACGTAATGGACATAACTGAAGTGACCATTTGGACAAGAAATCATGGTTAAGACATTATCCATTATTTCTATCTGCTAGGTCATTTGTGCATCAGATGGCAAAAAGAAGAAAGAAAAATCAGAACCATGGGAACATCTACTTGAGATTTAGGAAGACACACAGGGTGGTGTTAGAAATGAAGGGTTTTCATAAGCGAAGGGGATGGTTAGCAAGGAATAATGTCTGGCGAATCACAAAAGGCAAATTGCTACCTTTCTGGAGCTACAAGAGAAAAAAAAAAATGGTAGCCTAAATAACATTTTAAGGCAGCAATTTGTATCTTTTAATATATTTAAAGTTTAGACTCTTTCTGGAATTCCCTTTTTAAAAACAACTCCAATAGAAAAAAATGCTATCTACCATAAGTATAACAGGTGTCTCTTTTTAAATGGCTTATCCAGTAAATCTAATTTTCTTAATAACAGTAGTTGAGATCTAAAATTTATCTTGAAACTGTTTTTCACCCTGGCTCTTAGGCAAGATGGCTCTCTCTAGCCAAGGTACATAGAGATACATTCTTATATGTTTATAGCTTTGCTCTTGAGATGTATATATATGAACAATATTAAACATGTAAAATCAACTACACTAGAGCAAAATACTACTACATATTACCTCCAAGTTAGAAAATTCAGTTAGCTTTCTCAGCAATTTCAATGCCTCCATAAACAAGGAAGCTATTTTCACAAATTGGTCTTGGAGATTGCTATGTTTAATTAGGTAATGCTTATTCAGTGGGAATTCTGCTTATTTTACTTATTCTCCAACTCTTTGAACTGAAAAGACCAATTGATGTTTATACCAAACCTGAACTTATTCTAGACTCTCTGATGAAAAAAACCCACAAAGCAGTTTGTTATTTCATACATACAAAACGGCCTAGATAGAAAGCACATCTGCCTAAGGAAAGAAAAATTAAGGTCATGTTAGTTTAAATGGTCAATAATTAACTACCGATGAATCAAAAACAAAGTTCTGCTATAACAAGTTGGCAAGGCATATGCCAAAATGACAATCAAAGCCCCCTTTAAAAACACACCAGAAAATATCCATGTTCCACTGAATGAGGCTCTTCAAATCTTAATAAAAAATTTTCAGACCAGGAAAAAATTTTCAGCATGAATTTTTTACAAATTCTATCACCCAAAAGAATTTCTTTAAGGGGAAAAAAAATCTTAGTAGCTGAAGAAATTAAAAAGTGAAACTAATAAAAAAAAAATAGTTCTGGCAAGAAAGAGGAAGCTTCCTCATGAAACAAAGGACAAAGAAGTAAACAATGAACCTCACTTAGAAGAAATCTGTTCTAGAAGAAAAGGAAGTTGGTAATACTGGGTACTATTCAAAAGCTAACACAACGTTTTCTTAATGCTAGGGTTGAAGCTAGTCTTTAAATTGTTTAAAAGTCTTATTTGTGGGTACTTGCTAATATTACCCAAACAACACCAAAACAGCATGACTGATCCTCAGAAGCCAAGCCTTGTTTCCATGGAAACTTGTAATGATTCCTGCAGTAAGACTTGCTCAGAACCATTCAAGAGATTATGCATAGACAACAGGTTTAATGACCAACTGGAAGGATGGTATTAACTATTGCTGAGAAAGTAAACTTGCTGGGGGTGGAAACACAATCAAAGCCAGACTCTCAAAGAGGACCATACAGAAACAGCATCCAACCCGATGGCTGCAGAAGAGACTCAGACACTCACGGCAGAGCGAGGGACTAGTAAGTGGCTACTATTTTCAGTTTTGTTTTAGAAATAACCACTTAGAAGAGGAGTGTCACAACTTAACAGCTCCCTTATCCAAAGCTCCCATCATCAATATATTTATATAAGGTGGCGGGGCGTGCACATGGCTTCTTTAATATAAATATAAATAATTTTAAAACGGATAATTTTTAAAGGTTCAAGTATGGAAACCAGAAAATGAGGCTAGTATTTCATGACAAGAGGTCAACCTGACATGACAGTTTTGTCTTCATATTATTCAGATGCTTCTGAACATTTATCTGGTGTGTGTTACAGTCTGTAGATTTGGGGGAGAGGAGATCATCATTGACGAGAAAATGATTTCACAGGCATCCTCACGTCAGGGAGACCTAATTTTCATTTGGGCTATGTCTTCAGCTTTGTGGCGGAGTTGGAAATACATAGCTAGATGGCAAATTTTTTTCTTCTTTCCTGGTGACTAAAGGATGCTGGGTAACATCTGGCATAGCTACACATGGAGATCTGACATCACACGGAGAAAACGTGGTGCTGTGATTTATACTAACTATTCGCATGTCTGCACTCTGCACGCCGAGACCCCTAGACCCCAGCCACACATGAGCAGAAAGACAGCTCAGCGGGAGGCACCCTGCATCTGCCCTGCAGCTTGAGAACCTTCAGATAAAGGCACTCTCTCCTCC